TCTACCTTTTTGATGATTATACATATTGTGTTATACTCCTTTGTCGGATAAACATCCTCGCAAACGTTTTACTATGTTTACTGTTGAATGTTCGGGGGTTATATTCTGCTCACGATAAGGTCGTGGAACGTGAGCTCATGAAACCTTAACTAGATCGTGATGAATCAGTTTCTTTTCAGTGAAGCCGTCTTACTGCAGGGTAAATCTTCTGTAATTAGCTATGTACAACTCAGTCTGACAGTACAGTGTGAAAAAATCATTCTTGTCACGAACTTTGTCATTTCTGCAGTGAATACCTGCCGCTTTTAACTCGGCTTCAGCAGAAAAGCCCTCGAGCCGAGATGACGCTTCATAGCGGTATAAAGTTCACGTCTTAAAAGACACTGACCATGAAGGTGAACATTTAGGCATACATCTTATGTCCAAGTGTCACCAATGTTCAGCAAGGATATTTTCTATGTCGTTTGTAAGAAAAAGTAAAAATTCCTGTGCTCTGAGCTTAGATAGTTACACAATGCCTACTTACTTAAGTAAAATTGGGTCCGGCATTTGTCGTATTAAAATTACCAAGGCGTAAAATATGCTACTTTATTGGCAGATGTTTTCATAACCAAGAACATCACATGAGTCTTCCATCCTAAAACACGCACACGTTACACACGAAATTAAGAAATCTTGAAATTTTTCGATTGCTGTTCGCGGAGGCGTTTATATGTATTGTGTTAAAGAACAAAGGAAACTTTAGAAAACGTGATTTGTTTTTTTACATGTACAATATACTGACGCCCTAAGTTCTGTTTCCTAGAACTGTTATTTTACGTTGACGTTAACAGCGATGAAGGTTGTCACACGAACAAAGTCGACACCAGAACGTGACCAAAACATGCTAGCCTGATCACCGATTTGGTTTAAACATTGTTTTACTTTTATAAATCATATTATGATTGTATACCAGTCATCTGTTGACATTAAGCCCGGTGTGTTAAATAGTTAAGTATGTTAATGGTGTATTGGAGGAAATGCCAGTCGCTTTCGTGACTAACTGAATATCCACGGACACCACACAATGTGTATTCAGATAACCATGTACTAGCTTATTTCCAAAACATCAACTTTGTTTTACATATTTTGGGTATCAGGGTTATACGGAGGCTTGACCTATTATATGGCGAAATGGTTACTGAACTTATATAGACGTGTTTGACATATTTAAATTCTGGTTTAGCAACTTTATTCCCAACTTTGTATTTTAAATGCAGCGATGTTCCCAGTTCAACAACTTGTATTTAAGACTACATGGGGGGAAAAAAGAGGACGTTTTATTAAAAAGATAGACAGAGCATTATCTAAGTAAAATGTAATCTTAATAATTATGTCGGAGTGTATTGTTGTGAGCATGGTTGTCTTTTTTGGAACGTGCTATTATTTTTTTAATTGACTAACATTTATATGGCAGGTGTCGTTGACGGAGGAGTCTCTGTGTAAATCTGTGATTTGTTCATATAATGCTCTTATTAATTTGAATTTTATTTAAGGTTCTGTTTACATGTCTGCACTTTCTTCTTTTCCTTCTTCTGCTTCTTCATTATTATTTTTCGATTGATTTTCTCAGGAAAAGGAGAAATAAAGACTGACGGAGGGGTGAGGATGTAAGGTGATGTGACGGAGGGGTGAGGATGTAAGGTGATGTGACGGAGGGGTGAGGATGTAAGGTGATGTGACGGAGGGGTGAGGATGTAAGGTGATGTGATTGCACTAGTTGTCTACTAATTGGGTTCAAACTTTTTCAATTTTTTTGAATAACTATACAGCATGTATGATATTGACATTGGTTACAAGTTGAAGTTCCTCGACTGCCCATATAAGGGTATCGAAATAAACGACCGACTAAAGACCTATATTCACAAGAGCATAATATTGGATCATATCATTCATGAACTGAAAAATTGCGACCAGGCAGAAAATAATGATTGGCATCTTCATCACCCTCACCACAACAACATGTGGGTGAAAGACAAATACCTTAATGGAACAAATCTCTTTTAAGGCCACTACAATTAGGTCTAATTCAGACAATAGGGACAAATATCGCTTACCTGTATTCAGGTATCGAGGCTAAATGATGGATACAGTTGATATTCTCATGTTAAACAAGCTAAACGTTCTAACTTATCGCTCGTCGAATTGTCCTTGTGTTGAAATATAGCAAATCATGTTGGTATAATTTCTTATTTATCCAGTAACAGGAGAATTGCGTGGTCAGTAGTCTAGCGACCCTTACGTAAGATACATAAAGCATGGTCATACAACAAAACCCTAAATGTCAAACTGCTGATACCGAGAGGTCAGCCTGATCAGGCATGTCAGTACTGATTAACTTTAATGACGTAGTAATCACGGTTTGATTCCTTGGGGACCTGATGTTTTGGCCTCGTTATGGCCCTACTAAAGAACGAAATATCATCACATCCATTGTGTTCGGTCGACATTATTTTTAATGCTCTACATTTATTTGTTGTTAAAGCGTTTCCAAAGTTCATTCGCCAGGTCAAAGAAACAGAACGAACAAAAGTGATCTCAATGCAAACACATGTTGTCACGTCTAGCAATGAATATACTACGGCTTTATTCTCGAAAGTGGACAATTTGATGTTGGCCATATCCCTGGAAACAAACTCGACATACATTTGTCTTAATTAGATATTAGTCACTTTGTATAAGAGATGTATAGTTGTGTATTAATCAGGGTTTGTACATTTACTGGTAAATAGGACTTAAATATGATGACAATATTGATTAAAACGCGATCATAGAAAAAAAAATGAACTCGTTATGTTATAAACAGACTACGCCTTTTGTTACAGACTTTGTTCCTTAAAATGCAATTCTAATATATTGGAACAAAAACAAGTCACATTTATCGAGGAAAACCGCAAGTCATACATATGAAATAGACGACATAGTTTATGAAGATACAAAGATATACTTCATCTTGATTGATCTGGTGATATTTATTAAGTTCCTGAACATATGGACCAGAAAACCACGTCTACTTCACCACACTTATGGACAATGATGAATCACGTGCCTCAAAATTTAGTCCTTTCAGTTTGGCCCTATTGAGTTGTTGACCGTCCTATATATATATATATATATATATTTACATCTAACATCACGAAATGAATCGCTTATGGGACCAAACTTTGAACCAATATTTTTTACCATTGAGCTGCCATACTTTTACTTAAATCACTAATGTTTCGTGTGGTGTTTACATTCGCGTTATTACCATTATTTGTGCGAATCTTTTGATGAAATATTTGTTGTTCCGCCGTTAATTTACTTTTACATGTCCGTTGAACATATGTTTACGTTTTAAATATTCTCACAGAGTAATCTGTTTAACAAATATTACTTCCAAATTTAGACATCGTCAGAACATTGTACTTTTTAACGATATCCCTGTATTGCTGACCAAGATCTTCATGAAATAAAATATCTGAGTCTCTGGACCGGAAGTTGAATGAATACATTTATATTCATTGATATACTGTATGCTACCATTCTATTTTTATGTCATGTGACCAGAAATTGACCATTTGCATTATTTATCATTAATATACTGTATGTTTCCATTCTATCTTTATGTCATGTGACCGGAAATTGACCATTTGCATTCTTTACCATTGATATACTGTATGTTACCATACTATATTTAAGGCTCTTAGTAATACTGACGAGTCCTTGATGTCTTTGAACAGTTGTATAATGCAGTTCATCTCCTTGTTTGGCTCCATTATATCTAAATTCTAATTAAAAGGTGTTATTCACCTTTTGTACAATATCAAGGCCGCAAGTTGAACCATTACATTTTTAACATTGGTAAACTGTACTGGTAAATATACAGTTACCATGATATCACGACATCTTACCTGGAAAATAAACCATTGTTTTCATTTTAAAGTCATAACCTCTGTGCGTATAGGCTATGTCGTTTTAATCTTAGGACCGGAACATGAACCTTTCTGTTGTCATAACGTTTATAACCATACGTCATCTATCTTAGGACATCTAAGACATATGTTTGTAACAGAGAAAACTTTTGTATATCAGCTGAAAACAAAAGTAGGACCATTATGTTTTGTCCATTGATTAAATGGTTGGAAGTCCTTGGATAGGTTGCCGACTTCTTTGATATGGTTTTTATTTTTAGTTATAACGTTTGTGTCTAGTTTTGTTCTACATAGTTCTACAAGACAATGTCAATTTAATTTTCGGACTGTGCATTTTTCAATATTCAAATTGTTTTGTTGCTCGCATCTGAAAATAGGCAGCGGTCAATTTCCGTGCTTTGATATTGTCCGGGTTGGATGTTATGATTGGATGACCAGGAAGAAACGCTTCCACATCTCCATAACAATACGTGAATTATAACATCCAATCACAGATTGGTATCGCTACCAGTTTGATTTTGACCTTTGTTCCACAAACTCTACACTTGGACTCCGGATTGTTTGACATTTTACTCCAGAAGTCTTTAACAGAGAAGACGTTTACCTGTTTTTCGTCAACAGAACGTCATCTGTACATATTTCACCTACATGGTATAGCCAGAGGGTAAATCAGTCGAGCGTGACCACGCACGGCCTAAGGCACACATGTCGTTACGGTAATCATTGAGCAACACCGGCGACCAGAGTAGAGTTAGGTGGGCAGCTTCTAAGATCGCAATCATCGGAAGCGCAGAGTACATCAGCTGCGCAGACTCAGTTTTGGTAGCTGCAAGGGTAGAGCTGGTTGTACGTCATTCAGTCGGGTGCCTTCCGTGAGCGAATACGTACTTACATGTGGGAGTCTTGGGTTCGAAAGAATGCCTGTGGGCGCTCTCACTAATAAGTGTAAACTGCACGAACCAATGACGGAAACAGAGAAAAACCGTATTCTACTTAGTTGGATATAAGCACTACATCATATTTTGGTTTCTCTTTGTGTTTTGGATTATGGGAATCAAGTATGAACTTTTCTGCTTTGTGGCCATTACTGTGATCTCCTGCTCAGGCCAGTGGAATAACTTTCAGGTATGATATTACAAGGTGCCTTGGTACCGTCTACTAAGTTGTATGTGATAACAGTGTTTTAATCTATCTTGTTAATTTCTGTATAGTTTCATAATATGAAAACGGAAAATTAAAAAGTGCTGTATTTAACAAATTATTTGGTACACAAATGGATTATATTAAAACTTAGATGCGACGAAAAACAAACCAAATTCTTTTTAAGTAGTCGTGTCTAAAGATATTTGCCGACAACAGTAATGCGATATGTTTATGAAAAAAATAGTGATTTATTGCGACCCGATCAGATATGGGGAAGTGCGGAGGACATTGGGAATCATCACGGTCTTTAGAGTATACATATTATCGATCCTACCGTAATATCATTTGTACTGTTGTGACTTGATAACTATTCTAATGATTTATAGTAAACACGCCGCGAGTCTCGCACCATTTTTCTCTCCTGCGGTACAATCAGTTATGAATTTGTGTCTCCGTTTTAGTTCAACAATTGTCATTTAGTCATTTTACGACGCAGTGGCTCCAGTATTAGTTTTTTTAATGGTTATTTTTTACTTGCAGTGTATTAAGCACTGGTTTGTATTCTCTACTTTCTAAACTGAACGAACTTTACAATTAATCCTAATTGTCCTATGTCTGTAGTTAGTTATTAGAACACCATCATAACCACACGAGTAATATTAAAGAAAGAAGATCGAATCAAATGTACTAAGAGATTTACATAGATCTATAATAGTCATTCATATAAAACGTGGTCTTCTGTATGTATTACATAAAAAAAACTCCTTCTTAACGTATAAACACCTCAGTGATTAAATATACCTCGGTTTGTGCTAGCGGACACACGTGTTTGACAGTGGTAAGTGTCTGTGATGTATTTTCAGCTCCACTAGGACTTTTTTTAAAGTTCTGTTACACTTGTTATTATATACTGTCATTTGTATCACTTTATCACTGATTCACGACTTCCTATATTGTCTTCATGTAGGACACATAGAGATGCATACGTTTCATATGTAAAACTTTTGTGGGTGAAGAAAAGTCCTGAGAAATAATTTTAGTGATAAATCTGTACATCTAGAATATAGCATGAATTTCATCTGACCCTTGTTGCTTTAGTTTTATAGGTAATTATAAAGACCGGGCTCCATCGTAGAATTTTCTGTAACGGAGCTCACGATCTTACTTGCCTAGAAAACACAAACATTTATGCATTGACAATTCCGTATGAAGTGTGTATACTTTGAGCGTACGTAGCAAATAAAATGCATTTTTAATAAACTTTTAATATGCGGCTAGAAATTAAGACATAATTTTAATATGCATGTATGAATGAAGACATAAAAAACTGATCTGTCAAGGAGTTAAGACAAAAAATGAGACATTTGAATGCGTCCACAAATTGGGAAATAACAATTCATTTCTAAGAATTGAGATACAGTGAGAGTCATTTGAATGCGTCCACAAATTGGGAAATAACAATTCATTTCTAAGAATTGAGATACAGTGAGAGTCATTTACAATAAGTATTGATGAGATACAGTGAGAGTCATTTACAATAAGTGTTGATGAGATAAAGTGAGAGTCATTTACAATAAGTATTGATGAGATACAGTGAGAGTCATTTACAATAAGTATTGATGAGATACAGTGAGAGTCATTTACAATAAGTGTTGATGAGATACAGTGAGGGTCATTTACAATAAGTATTGATGAGATACAGTGAGAGTCATTTACAATAAGTATTGATGAGATACAGTGAGGGTCATTTACAATAAGTATTGATGAGATAAAGTGAGAGTCATTTACAATAAGTATTGATGAGATAAAGTGAGAGTCATTTACAATAAGTATTGATGAGATAAAGTGAGAGTCATTTACAATAAGTGTTGATGAGATAAAGTGAGGGTCATTTACAATAAGTGTTTACAAAAAGTATTGATGAGATAAAGTGAGAGTCATTTACAATAAGTGTTGATGAGATAAAGTGAGAGTCATTTACAATAAGTATTGATGAGATACAGTGAGGGTCATTTACAATAAGTATTGATGAGATAAAGTGAGAGTCATTTACAATAAGTATTGATGAGATAAAGTGAGAGTCATTTACAATAAGTGTTGATGAGATACAGTGAGAGTCATTTACAATAAGTGTTGATGAGATACAGTGAGGGTCATTTACAATAAGTATTGATGAGATACAGTGAGAGTCATTTACAATAAGTATTGATGAGATAAAGTGAGAGTCATTTACAATAGGTATTGATGAGATACAGTGAGAGTCATTTACAAAAAGTATTGATGAGATACAGTGAGGGTCATTTACAAAAAGTATTGATGAGATACAGTGAGAGTCATTTACAATAAGTACAGTGAGAGTCATTTACAATAAGTATTGATACAGTGAGAGTCATTTACAAAAAGTATTGATGAGATACAGTGAGGGTCATTTACAAAAAGTATTGATGAGATACAGTGAGAGTCATTTACAATAAGTATTGATGAGATACAGTGAGAGTCATTTACAATAAGTATTGATGAGATACAGTGAGAGTCATTTACAATAAGTATTGATGAGATACAGTGAGAGTCATTTACAATAAGTATTGATTGAGAGTCATGAGATAGATAGTGAGAGTCATTTACAATAGGTATTGATGAGATACAGTGAGAGTCATTTACAAAAAGTATTGATGAGATACAGTGAGGGTCATTTACAATAAGTGTTGATGAGATACAGTGAGAGTCATTTACAATAAGTGTTGTGAGATTGAGAGTCATTTACAATAAGTGTTGATAGATACAGTGAGAGTCATTTACAATAAGTATTGATGAGATACAGTGAGAGTCATTTACAATAAGTATTGATGAGATACAGTGAGAGTCATTTACAATAAGTATTGATGAGATACAGTGAGGGTCATTTACAATAAGTATTGATGAGATACAGTGAGAGTCATTTACAATAAGTGAGAGTCATTTACAATAAGTATTGATGAGATACAGTGAGAGAGTCATTTACAATAAGTATTGATGAGATACAGTGAGAGTCATTTACAATAAGTATTGATGAGATACAGTGAGAGTCATTTACAATAAGTATTGATGAGATACAGTGAGAGTCATTTACAAAAAGTATTGATGAGATACAGTGAGAGTCATTTACAAAAAGTATTGATGAGATACAGTGAGGGTCATTTACAATAAGTATTGATGAGATACAGTGAGAGTCATTTACAATAAGTGTTGATGAGATACAGTGAGAGTCATTTACAATAAGTGTTGATGAGATACAGTGAGGGTCATTTACAATAAGTATTGATGAGATACAGTGAGGGTCATTTACAATAAGTGTTGATGAGATACAGTGAGGGTCATTTACAATAAGTATTGATGAGATACAGTGAGAGTCATTTACAATAAGTGTTGATGAGATACGGTGAGAGTCATTTACAAAAAGTATTGATGAGATAAAGTGAGAGTCATTTACAATAAGTGTTGATGAGATACAGTGAGTATTGATGTACAGTGAGGGTCATTTACATTTTGATGAGATAAGTAAATAAGTGTTGAAGGCGTGAAACGAAGACCAGTATTGAGTGTTATTAACATATTAACAACGGCTAATAAAGAGGAATTTTTAACAAGTCCTTGTGATTTTCGAGATCTGTTGTAAACATTTTTACAAGCTGTCGTAATCCAGACCGCTCTTTGTGCCCTTGAATCAAATTCCGTTATAATTCTCTGAAGTCACAACTGAAATATCACTGTTTCAGAGACACAACTTTCTTTATAGCTACAACATGAATTCAATAACACAATTATCTGTGTAGCATAAAATGGAAACACATCAAATTACATGTTAATTAGTAAGTACGCATATCTTGTTAATGAATATAAATCATTAATTAAGTATTGTTATTGTATTCTGATTTCATCACCAATCATACACTTTAGAGCCATTTAATGATTCACAAAGAGCTATGATTAACTTGTTAATTCACACATAACAAAACATGCTCCGTGTTTAACTCACGAAAAGCGGAAGTGGTATGAAATTAAGGCCTTTGATTGACATCTTCGATGACGTCACTCAGTTTGACAGCAGATTTGCGTGGAAATGATGTTATCTTGTATTTTGTAGTTTGTAATGATACACGTGGTAGAAATTTTAGACTTCTGGTCTTATTTCAAAAATGTACGTAAGAAAATTCCATTACTTGTTTTAGTATATATAGATATAGACACAAATTTTGCTGATTATTGTTGATAGCAGATACTGGTAACACGACAGAACTGTTATGTCCAAGTAAAGGTCATACAGCGTCCCGGAGTGGGTGGGGTGCTGAGGCGACAGCATTTAAAGCCAACTTTAGACCTTTCTGTAGTGCTATCACACTGAATTATTATTGCTTGGCCACGGTTGTGTGATTTTTCTCCCTGTCATTTTACGCTGCCAAAGGAAATGGGCTTACGGTACCCTCTTTTCATTTCCTTAAAATGTTATCCTGCAAGAGTTTTACTAATCATAAGACTGCGCTCATTTTTGGGATTGTGCGATTTCCGTTTAAAGATTTATAAAAAATACAATGTTATATTAAAATTTTTATAAAAAAATATATAGTGTTATGTTTAAAATTTTATTTAAAAACCTGTTAGATATGTATACTGAAACTATTACTACGGTATACATGATTTTTATACATGTTTTTACAGAAATACACTGTTTCTCGTGGATTAGTTCACTTCACAGGTTTACATATAATGGTGTTACAACACGATATCAACAGATAATTTTTCTTCTTCTTTTAACCGTCATCAACATGGATGTAGAAGAAAGGGTTATGCTTACGAATTTTGTCCCCGTTATGATAGCGCTGTAGTTCCTAGCTCTAAACAGCAGATCGATTTTACTTCAGGAAAGTGCCATTTAGGAAAGTTTCGCTAAATAGGTGAGATACAGACGAAATGAGCACCAAAACTCATATGAAAATAACGTGTGT